AATTGAATATAAAATTATTCACATATGTTTGGCTTAAAAGTATCAAAATAATTATAATGGGAGTTATATATGAGACTAAATATATTTATCACTTCCTCTTATTATTATTATTAAATATAAACTTATTTTCATGTATGTTTGGTTTAAAGTACCAGACTGAATATTTGTAAGTAAAATATAATGGTTGATATTATTAGTAGTCATTGAATTTTGTCCCATAATTTGACTAAGGCCCGATTTTAATAGAAAGTCCAACAAAAATAAAACTTAAACGACTGGCCCACTTACACTTGGCCCAACCCATTAATCAAGGTTGAGCGCCAGCAGTCCGATCTAGGTGTTTAATTTCGTTGATCCATATTTGTCATATATATATATATATATATATTAGTGCTCGTATATGCGCGGCTTACTTTTATGTTCTGATAAAATATTTTTTGTGATTTATTTTTTCTTGATATTAATTTATTATATGAGTTAAATTACTCTCTATAAAATGATATGTATTAATATGTTTCAAATTTTTAATAAAATTTTAAAAATTATATTATATGAATATGAATATATAAATTTAAATAAATAAATAATATGAATATAGATATTTTAAAATAAAAAGAAAGTGACTGACTGAATTGGTGGGATGGAAAAAAGAGAGAAATAAAGAGAATTAATTATATAAATAATTTTTGTATAACTGTGCAACCAACCAATTTTTTAGTATAATTTATATTAATTTAATTCAATAATTGTATTTATTATATTTTGTGTGTAAAATATTAATTTATTAATTTTTAAGTATTTTTTATAATTATTGTGCTGTATAAATTAAATTAATTGATTTATTTCTTAAATTATATTTTTATGCATTATTTATGTTTTATTTAAATATTTAATTTTAGGTAAATTAAATATTATAAAAACATATAATTTAAATATTTAATGTTGGCGCAATAAATATATTTAAATAAATAATATATTTTATTTTATTAAATATTTGTTTTGTAATTTTTAATAAATGTTAATTTTGTATTAATTAGTGCAAAAATCTGTATACAATGATTATTAATTGAATGAGGGTTGTATTAATTCTGCACAGAAATCAACGGAATAATTTATAGTTGGTCGGTTGTATTTACTCAGCGGGGAAACTTCTGCATAGAGGTAAGCCAAGTCGGCTACTGTGCGGAATTCAAGCGACGGCTGGTCAGCTGCATTTAATCCACAAGACTCCCCCAGTTCCTACATTTACTCCTGCTTTCTCCCAACTGCTCCAATTAATTATTTTTGTGTATAAATTAAATAAATTAATGTGTTTCTTTAATTATATTTTTAAACATTATTTATGTATTATTTAAATATTTAATTTTAGGTAAAATTAAATATTTAATTCATCTACAAAATGATATATATTGATCAACCGTCCAGTCAGATTCAAATAATTTTTGTTTTGAGTGCCAAACAAGCTCGAAAATCCTACATTAGTTTCAGATGCATTTCTATTATATCATATCATTAAAATATTTTAAATAAGTTATTGTATTAAAAGTAAACATTACGATCTACAGAATGATATTCATGTCAATATATTTTTTACAAGTAAATCACCGCAAAATAACAAATGGAATTGGAAAAACACAAACCTCAACAACACCCAATATCCCCAATATAACTGACAACGAAGGGGTTAACTGACAAATTTAGTCATACTTGCCTATAATATTACCATTTCGTACAACTGCTCAAAATAATAAATATTACACTGTTAAGGATATTTACGTAATAACATGTAGTCATCCGTACAACTTCTCATATATATGTGTTTAAGGATATATATATATTTGTGGAGAGGGAGGGCACCACATATTCGCTCATTCGATACAAACATACATACAGTCATTCTTTCTTCAGTTCTCTCCACTTTCTCATCTCCCGCAATTAGTTTTCTCTTCTCATTTCTCCTCTCTGCGGAAACTTTTTTTCTGTTCTTGTGAAGTTTGAGGTTTGTTCATCTTTTTCCTTTACGATTCAAACTGTACATGATTCGAATTCATCGAACTGGTAAGTATTCCCCACATGTGATTTTTCGAGTGATGTTCTATATCGTCCACTGAAATCTATTTTTGGGGTGTGCATGACCTTGTGAGAGAATATTAGGGCTAGTTTGAGTGTGTTTGTCGCAATTGACCAGCCGTACGGTCAATCAAATAATTCACATATTTTGTAATCACAAAGAAATGTAATATATGAGAAGAGATCGTCTCCATATGGATTGTGTGATATACTTTCTTGTGTTTGATGCAGTAAACTAGAAAAAGAAGATTTTTACTAATTTTAATAAAAATAAAATAATAGTACAATTATTTTAAAGAAGATTGTTTATCAATGAAAGTGTGTGGCTCAAGGATGCCTAAACAAGATATCTGATGTAGTCCGATATCACAACCAAATCAATCTAAAAGTCATTGTTGAGATGATGAATAAACACATAAATCACCTAAGAATCAATTCCTAGGCACATGAGTTCAACAAAACTAGTTCAATTAGCAATTCCAAAACACTAATTGCACTGACCTAAGATAAATTAGTATGCATCTTCTTCGGATCCTTACAAAAATTAGTATAGATGGAAAGCCAATATGTACACATTATTGATAAGCAATTTTTGAAGTTGTTCAATTACAGGGAATTTGTATCGAAATTAGAATGAAGTGAATTATTGTGGATGGTCAGATATAAATTAAAAACATATAGTTGTAGACCCTGAATCGTTTATCACAATTATTTATACTATTTAGTTGGTGAGTTTCCAAGTCGAACATAGAGATTTTAAGTCACGAAATTTAATCTAGAATTAGCCAGTGAAAAGCGGCAAGAAAAGCATAAGGGGAGCTCCCTCATGAGCAAGCCTAGACACTAAACTAGATAAGAACATAATTTAAAGAAAGTGGTAAAGGTGAACGAAGGGGTGAGCGAAGCGAAACTAGTGAGTTGTGAGGGCAGTGATAGTGGTTGATGAGTGGAGGTGAGCGAGGGAGTTGAGCGCGATATATATATGTATATATTGAGTGATAGAGGTGACAAAGAAATGTTGTGTCTGATCTGTGCGTTCCTTAATGGCTAGGTTGTTATGGATGAAATGAGCGAATGATGATGGTGCATAAGCGGAGATTATATCTATAGTACGAAAGCGATAGGAGGCATGAATGTAATCATATAAACAGAATTATACAGAACTTAAACCGTTGATACTTGACCTTAAGGGCTTTACAACATGACTTCAATGACGTCCAGAATTAAAACATTATAAGCAAGAAATGCTACTGTCACTAGACATTTCTGTGACCAATAGACAAGCGCCTATGCCCCTTTAATTATTCTAATTTCTGTCTCATTAATGGCTTTACCCTTATGTTACTTTTTTTTTAATAAAAATCGAATTCAGATCAGTAATTAAGTAGGTCGACAAGGCTCCCACTTACTTAACTATGTTGAACCACCCATAATCTGTTAATGAATACGACACGAAACTGAGCTTAAATAGTCGATTCTTCTCTATTCTTTCTTAGCGACTCAAGATTCTCTATGACTCAGATTTATACAAATATGAAATTGGGGAAGAAGTGATGATGAAGAAAGATTGATATTCCATTACTTACTAAGGAAAGCAATAGAACACTACAAAAAGAACATTATAAAACCTGTAATTGAAAGCCGTGAACTAAAACTAGAAAGCAGTAAAGTAGTGGCTAGAGGAGGAGAGAATCTCTACTCCTATGGCCATTCCTGCTGAAAACTCCCTTACAGGATTGGAGCTCTCGAGAGGCAGGAAGACAGCAAAAGCAGAGTGCAATTAGGCAGTTGAGAAGTAGTTTCAGCCACTGAGCAGTTAGGCAGTTGACGGCGGTTATTTTGTTGAAGCAGTTGCACTCGCCATAACTTCCAGGGCGCTCGCTTCGCTTACTTTGGCATGTAGAGGCACAGATCTTCCTCGCTTGCCTAGGTGTCTGGAAGGCATCAGCGCAGCTAAGCAGAGCTATCCTTGCTGACTGGTAACGGAATGGCTTTACCGTTGCGAGTTGAACACGTAGGCACTTTCTTGGGGTAATTTATTCTCGCTTCGCTGTGGTGGATGTCTTGTCGCTGACACTGGCTTGAGCTTGGAAGACGTCGCTTGTTGAGCGGTCAGGACTGTCGCTTAACTTTCATGACTTAGCCTTTCTGGACTAGAATCATCGTTGAAAAAGGCCAAAAACGTTAAAAATCTCAACAAACTAATTCTGGCTCATGTCAAGCAAAATAAATTAATAAAGTATTTCATAAATAAGATATTGTGATATTTTTATACCGAAATTCAAGTAATATATAATTTTTTTAAACAAAGAATATGCTAATAATTGGAGTTATCAATTATATTAATGATAAATTTGTAAAATAATGATATGTTGGTGATACCTTTGTTGGCATGTACTACTCACTGGACATTTTGGCTTGAGTCAGATGCTCCTAGGCTTCCAGGCTCTTGCAATCGAGGACAACTGTCTCTACTTATCGGGTCGTGGCATCCACTTCAGCGTGCTTCTCTGTTGAATATTATATTAATTTACTTGAAGCTTATTTATGTTTCTCCAAATGTGATAATAATTATAGCAATAATACTTATATATTTTCAGGACCAGCCGTAAAAAACCAGGGAGCAATTTGGCAAAGGACATGTAAATAATATATAGGGAAAATTGTAAAAGTTGATTTTTATGTAGGTCAAATTATCATTTTTAGACACATGTTTTCCATTTCCGTAATTTATGACAATATGTCTTTCGCCAGCCTTATTTTTGTTTTCCAACACCAAAAAAAGTCACGTGGTGGTCACGTGGACATACCGTTGCCGACATGGATCATGCCGGTGCTGACGTGTTATGTGAGGTGGACCATCGACGGCTTGTGACGTAGATATTATTAATTTTTTTAAAAAAAAATGATTTCTTTTTTTTAATTATAACTTGGCCAGATTGAATTAAATTGCAAAAAACTAATTTCTGTTTAGGTCTAACTACATCAAATTGAAATAAACAAAAAAATTATCTCCACACACCACTGTATCGATCTATACATCCATCCTAACCACAAATTATTGGTTTTTCTTCCCCAAGAACCTTAAAATTCTCAATCTATCCCTAAATCTCCCATTTCGTCCACTGTCCCCTAAAATTTCCCTTGTTCCATATAAACGCGGCCGCCATCTATCTTGCCAGGAACTCGAGCGGCGGAATCCAATTTCCAACTACTGTCTGCCGTGGCCATTCTCTCGTTACTCATTCTTAAGTATCTTCGAAGACGGAGCGGCAATAACTTACTCCTCTCGCCGATGCCTTCTTGAAGACTCTAGAGCTCGATTTGTGCACATCTGGCGAGTGCACGATAGCGGTGGAGTTCAAATATTCCGATTTGTCAAGCTCGAAGATCAAAGATTGATCCATTAGGAAAAATATGTTGCTCCTTCCAACATATTAGCTTTTCGATGCCGCCGTGACCATGGTTGTCGCAGTAATTTCACATTAGATTATCAACTGAATCATTGTTCTCCTGTGCGAATTTTAAGTACTTAAAAAAAAAAATCGTCAAAAACCACAAAAGATTAACAATAAAAATTCTAAGAAAATATAAAAAAATCTACCAAGACCTAAGAAAGCAACTTCAGACAGCTTGCTTTTGTTGCAAGTGAAGTTGGAGGAAGAGTGATTATCTAGGGGATCGACATGTTTCCTAGTAGCTGAGGTGGAGGGCAAGGCGACGACGGCGGAACCCTTGAGTTTGGATGCAGAAGGTGAATACTTCTCCAAGTTCTTGTCCAACGCATTGTTGATTTACTTCTGATCCAGCATTCCTCTGCCGCGGCGGTGGACGAAATTGGATAGAGTGGAAAATTTTAGGGTTGTTGGGGAAAAAATGACGAATAATTTTTTGTGGAGATGAATGGATAGATCGATGTTTGGGTGTGTGGTGATAAATTTTTTATTTATTTCAATTTGGTAAGTTATTTGCAATTTGAGTCAATGGGCAGATTGAAATTTTTAAAAAAATAATTTCATTTTTTAAAATAATAATATCCACGTCACAAACCGTCAATGGTCCATCTCATGTAACATGTCAGCACCGGCAGGATCCACGTCGGGAACGGTATGTCCACATAAGTTTTCGTGACCGTCATGTGACTTTTTTCGGCACCGGAGGACAAAAATAAGGCCGGTGAAACACATATTGTCCTAAATTGTAAAAATAAAAAATGTGTCTAAAAATGATAATTTGACCTACATGAAGAACATTTTTTGCAATTTTTCCTAATATATATGTTATATATAATAATAATTTGTTTTATATGGTTTAGTGTTTAGGCCCAATATGATAAAATTATAAAAAATGGCGAAATTGTACGTAACTCTCCGGTGGTTTTAAAATTCAGTGTAAATACTCCATGTCCTTTAAAAATTGTATAGCATACACTTATACTTTAAAAAACATTGCATAAGATCCCCGACCATGAAAAAAAATGTAGATGTGTAATTATCTTCTCATCGCACAGAAAATGTAAAATGGGATTTCAAGCAACATTTTTTAAAATATAAGGAGGTGCCATGAAATCGTTAAAGTACAAAGGAATTTTCGTTGAATTTTAAAACTACATGAAATTTTCAGGCAATTTTGTCATAAAAAAGATTGATTACTCACGGAATTTTTTCTTGAGTAATCATGAAAATCCGTAAGTAAATCGATCACTCACGGAATTTCATCCGTGAGTATTTTATTAGGAAACACCTCATTACTAATTTCTCACAAGAAAAATCCATGAATAATTCGTTTGTCCGCGAGTAATTTGCTCACGACCATAAGTTTATTTGCAATTAAAAAATTCAATGAGTGATTCCGTGAGTAATTTACTCGGAATTTCTTACATGAGGTTTGAAAAAGAATAATATTTGTGAGTAATTTTTTCGACACCCCAAAAAAATTTATATTTTAATTTGTTCATATCTGTTTCAAATCATATATTACGACAACACAAATCCAAGTCATTAAGTAAATTGCACCAAACTAAGTATCTAATAAACAAAATACGATCGAATCTCATAATGTTTATATATATAATTCCATAATCGATGGATACCACAAAAAATAGTAAACATAATTGTACATTTGAAATAGTAAAATTCATACAAGATTAAAGTTTAAATATTAAGTATGCAAATCAACAAACTTGTGACACACCATAACGCCATCGGGGTCGGGGCGGTTCTATCAGGCGTTTATCCTCTCGAGCTACTACATGATTGTCAGAGCGCAACTCCGGAAATGATCAAACCACTCCTCCAAGTGCGCTATCTGACTCCCGTCAATTGTTGGAGCACCAGACATACAACCATCATAAGTAAATGAGCTGCGATCCGGTGGCAACATCGATGCCAGTGACCCGTGCCCAAATATCCTGTTCTTTTTATCCTGATAACTTGAAAGTAGAATTACACATGAATAGCCTAAGCAAGATATACTCAACTTGTTTCAAGTCTTCAGTAATTGTGGTGTTGTCAAGTAAAAGCAAGTATCAATGAAAATCAATCATCAATGAATAACTCAAAAACCTTTCAGTTCTTAAGTATATTTACAAGTTCTCAATTGGTTGCATGCGATTGAATCACTATCTCTAGATCAATCATCTAATCATCGCAATCAATAAATTTATCATATTATTTATTAATACAAAAACAATCCATATTACATAAATGCATTCCCACTCAAAATTTGAAAACCATGCAACAAACTTGCCCAAACGGTTCGGAACCGCCGGTTTTCCGGTTTTCGAACCGGCGGTTTTGGTTCAAACCGAAACCGGGCTCAAACCGAACTGAAACCGTGAATCCGACGGTTCGGTTTCGGTTTATGTTTGAGCCAAGCCGTGAACTACCGATTTATAGTTTGAACTGGCGGTTTGGACAAGATATTTGATTTTTTTTATTTTTATTTTTTAAAAAATTATGTCCGCCCAAACCGGCGGTTTTGGTTCGAACCGCCGGTTTGGGTGGGATAAAATTCAAACCGAAACCGCCGGTTTGGAGCATTAGCAGCTTAGATATATGATCGAGTGACTTTGCTCAAGTCATTGAATGCATCCGGTAATTTATTTGCAATATTTTGCAAATGTATAATGCGTTGAACTTGAAGTTCATGCTGATTTGTACGAGAATCACAAAAATTCAAAGGGATTTTCCAATTGATATCCCTTTTTGGTTCATTATTTTCTCCCCCTAATGTCGGAAAATATAATTCGTCAAAATGACAATCTGCAAATCTTGCAGTGAATAAATCACTCGTCATAGGTTCAAGATATTTTATAATTGACGGTGATTTATATCCGACATAAATGCCCAATCTACGTTGAGGACCCATTTTTGTATGTTTGGAGGGGGGTTGGAATAGGAACATAAACAACACAACCAAAAATACGTAGATGAGATATATTTGGTTCGTGACCAAATACTAACTGCATTGGGGAATAGCTATGATAGCTTGTCGGCCTCATTTTTATAAGTGTTCTTGCATGTAAGATTGCATGCCCACAAGCTGAAACAGACAACATAGACCTCATTAGTAATGGTCTAGAAATCAATTGCAATATTTTAATAAGTGATTCTTCCAGGCCATTTTGTGTATGAACATGAGCAACTGGGTGCTCTACATTAATTCCAATCGACATGCAATAATCATCAAATGCATTCGATGTATATTCACCAGCATTATCCAGACGTATAGTCTTAATTGGATTATCGAGGAATTGTGCGCGTAATTTAATAATTTGGGCAAGCAATCTTGCAAATGTCATATTGGAAGTAGATAACAAACAGACATGTGACCATCTGGTTGATGCATCAATGAGCACCATAAAATATGTATATGGCCCACACGGTGGGAAGATAAGTCCACAAATGTCCCTGTGTATTCTTTCAAAAAATGTAGGTGATTCAATACCTACTTTAGCTGGCGATGGCTTGGTTATCAATTTTCGCTGAGTGCAGGCAACACAGGTTAACTCATTTGAGTTTAACACTTTTTGACCTTTTAATGAATGGCCATGCGAATTCTCAATTATTCGCCTCATCATTATACTGCCAGGATGCCCAAGGCGATCATGCCATATTTAAAAATCGGTAGTCTTTTGATCTATCGTGAGGTGTGTTTCAACAATACCTAATCTGGCATAATATAAACCAGTAGAGAGTGAGGGTAATCTCTCAATACATTTCCTTTTATCAATGATATTGGTGATTAATAAAAATTCATCATCGGTATCACTCATAGTTTCAATGTGATAACCATTTTTCCGAATATCCTAAAAGCTCAATAAATTTCTTCGAGCTTTAGTGGCCAACAGTGCATACTATATCACAATTTTCATCCCCGCGGGGAGAAATATAATGGCTTCTCCAGAGCCTTCAATTAATTTTGCACTGCCACTTATTGTATTGACATTCATCTTTTCCCTTCTCAAATGGGAGAAATATTTTTCGTGTTTTAATATAGTATGTGTCATTGCACTGTCAATGAAACACATATTTGCATTAGTTTGTATGGCATCCATTTAACCTTTAAATATAAATAAACGCAGTATTAATAAAGGCAGATATAAGTATTACAAAATGCATTACAAAAAAGGTAGTATAATTTAAATATTACAAAATATAAAATGACATAGTATGTCTGTCACTGGGGGTTTGTTGGATCTACGACAAAATCCGCTATATCAAGATGCGTTATGTCGTAATCCAGAAGATCATCATCGGGGTCTTCATCATTATCAATGTGATTAGTCTCGACCTCATTCCCCTTCTTTTGCAGTGATGCTTGATAAAGATCGGCTAGGTGTTTGGTTGTTTTGCAGGTATTGGCCCAATGGCCTTTAATGCCACACCGATTACAAATGCCGATTTGCCTCTTTCCTTGTTTATCCTTTTCGGCTATATCCCCATATTGGGGTTTAGTCTGCATCTTGTTAATGTCAAAACTGCAGCGATTGTAAGGGGTATATCAACCGCGTTGACTGCCACGACTGCGACCACGTCTACGGCCTCTACCATGTCCTCGGCCTCGTTCATAAAATGTCACGTTCACTTCAGGGAACGGACTGGAACCAGTGGGCTGGGAATGATAATTTTTCATCAGTAACTCATTATTTTGCTCAGCTAATAAAAGAGATTCAATGAGCTTTGAGTACTTTTGAAAAATTTTCTCACGATATTGCTGTTGCAGCACAACATTAGAAGCATGAAAGGTAGATGAGTCTTTTCCAATTTATCATTTTCAGTGACAATTTCTCCGCAGAGTTTCAACTGAGATGTAATATGATGGATATCGGAGTTGTACTCCGTAACAGTTTTAAAATCCTGCAACTGCAGGTTAAGCCAATCATGTCGGGCTTTCGGGAGAGTGATATATTTCAAGTGCCCAAATCTCTCCCTCAATTCATTCCACAAATCTAGTGGATATTTCAATGTCAAATATTCAGACTGTAGAGGAATATCCAAATGATGACGGATGAAAATAATAGCCTTAGCCTGATCTTGACTTGTAGCCGCATTTTCACTGGCAATTGTATGAACAAGACCCATTGAAACCAGATGCATTTCTACATCCATGGACAAAGTCAGAAAATTATTGCCGGTGAGAGACAGAGATTTAAAAGAAAATTTTGTAAGGTTTTCCATAGTTTAGAAAATAGGTAATATAGATAGTAGAAAAATAAAACTTACCAAAGTAAAATAGGCAAGAGCCTTCGTACTGATAACATGTTAAATAATTGTTGAGTAAGAAAAAACCAATGTGCAGGGTTTTCAAGAATGGGCCTAGGGCTGTGGACTGGTGTATAGTTCAATGGGCCTGTTAATGGCAGTGGGATCCTAAATGGGTTTGAATACGGAGGTCGGTCAAAAGGAGGTCGGGCGAAGAAAGATGAGACGGCCGATACGGAGGTCGGGCAAAAAAAGATGAGATGGCAGACACGGAGGTCGGACAAGAGGAAATGTCTGTTAATTGGTCGGGCAAAGAAAAGTCTGTTAGTTGGTCGCTTAATTAAGTGACCTGTTAATTGCCTAATCGATTGGCCGGTCATTTGGTCAAACAGTAATTCAGTCGCTTGAAAGGGCGGTTAGTTGGTCGTTTGATTGGGCGACCGATGAATCATCTGGACAAATGGTTGTTCAGCCGATTGAAGGGACTGGATGGTGGTCGCTTGATTGGGCGACCGATGAATTGTCTGGACGAATGGCTGTTCAGCCGTTTGAAGGGACTAGATGGTGGTCGCTTGATTGGGCGACCGATGAATCGTCTGGAAGAATGGTTGTTCAGCTGTTTGAAGGGACTGAATGGTGGTGGCTCGAATGGGCAACTGATTAGTTGTTTGGTCTAGCGACCAGTTAGTATTTGGATTGGTCGGTTGGTCAAATGTTGGGTTATTCGGTAGGTTCAGTCGGTGGACGGTCCAGACGATTTCTCAGTCGGATGGTGATTTATGATTCGTCTGAAAAGACGGTTAAGGGAAGTTACAACCGGCGGGTGGATCGAACAAGTGGAAGGCGGGCAAGAGGAGACGTAGCAGCAGGTGTGTCGGTCGGACGAAAAGCAGTTCTAAGATGGTTGAGAGAAGTTACAACCGGCGAGCGGATATGAAGGCACGACCTGGTTGTGGCGGTTGACATAGGTTTTAAATAGGTCTATTCATGACCTAAAGAAACCATCTTCAATCGACATCAAATTCAGTGAATTTCTTATGGGGATCACCATTTATTTTTTTCAGTCTGTAGTATTTATTTTTCTAGTTTTTCGTACGGTGTCTAGGGATTTGTAAATCTCAGGTATTTTATTTTATCAAATTCAAAGATAATCTCTATTTTCGGGTTTTACTTTTTATTGTTGAAAATCGGCATCAACAATTTGGCGACCACAGTGGGAGTAAGGCAAGATTGCTGATCCTACATCAAAAGAGAATTTCATATGATTGAGATCCGGCCGAATCATTGGAAGCATCCATATGACGGGTTCACAACCCCAAGTCTCTTCAACACCGGTGGGAGAAATCATTTCATCACTTGCCATGCCAAATGCAGGGGAAGTCCCCCAAGCACCCGCCGATTGGGTGTCTTATGTTCAACAATTGAACAATCAACAAACTTTGGTCATGCAGAATATGTTGCGTGATCAACAAAACCTCATGCAAAACATGCTAGATCAGGCTTTGTCAAGGGTTACTCTTCAACCCACCCAATCACCCTCAGGGATGTCGCCATCTAGATTACAAGCAAATTTTGCGGGGCCTTCATATGTAGATAACACTCTTCCAAGTGCCACTACTAGGGTTGACAGGGGAAAGACTCCTCTAACATACCCAAATAATGTTCCAGTGGGTGTCAGAGCCGAGCCAACCGTCCCCAGAGAAGATAGAATGGGAGGATAGACTCA